CACGCCGAAGAGATTTGGCTGCAGCATTAATTAACCGCGGTGTTAACTTAGATCCCTTAGGAAAATGGACTAAAGTCGGTTTAGTTGTTTATAATTCACAGGTTCCACTTGGTGCTACTCCCGAATACTTGGCTGGCCATTATATGATTCAGGGAGCATCCTCAATGCTACCAGTCATGGCTTTAGCACCTCAAGAGAATGAACGTATTTTAGATATGTGTTCGGCACCAGGCGGCAAAGGGTCGCATATTGCTTCGATTATGAAAAACACAGGCGTTCTTTTTGCGAACGATGCAAATCGGGAGCGGATAAAAGCAGTAGTAGCAAATTTTCATCGCCTTGGCGTTATTAACGCTATTGTCAGCTGTGAAGATGGTTGTAAATTTCGTAATTTAATATCTGGATTTGATCGTATTCTCTTAGATGCTCCTTGCACAGGCACAGGTGTTGTGGCTAAAGATCCAAGTGTCAAATCGACAAAGAATGAGGTAGATGTACAACGTTGTTATAATCTTCAACGCAAGTTGTTGTTAACTGCCATTGATTGTGTAGATGCCAAATCTAAAACGGGTGGATACATTGTGTATTCAACATGTTCGGTATTGCCTGAAGAGAATGAATGGGTTATAGACTATGCCCTCAGAAAACGAAATGTTAAGCTTGTTCCAACTGGTTTAGATTTTGGCGTTGAAGGCTTTACAAAGTATCGCCAATACCGCTTTCATCCCAGTTTAAATTTAACTCGCCGGTATTATCCCCACATACATAATATGGATGGTTTTTATGTAGCAAAACTTAAAAAATTCTCAAACACCATTCCGATGACTCAGGAACAGCAAGAAGCGGATGAAAAACTTTTGGACGACGCGATAGCGAATGCTACAACAATGGTGAATGATAATTCCAACAATAATGAAGAACTGGAATATAAAGAGAAGCAGCCACGGAAACTACTCGGAAAACAAGCAGGAAAGCCAAACCTTTCTGAAGTGGAATTAGACATAAAGAAGAAGAAAATGGAACTGAATAGAAATAAATACATTGCTAATGTTTTTGAAAAACCATTAAAAGTTAACAAAAATGAAAAGGAAGTGAAACCAGTAAATCAAACAACAATTAAAAAACAAAACAACACAAACCAATTACATATGGTTGATTTAAATGGTAGTAAAATCAATGGAACACAAATCGAATTTGAAGCCAAAAATATACAGCGAAATAACATTAATACAAAAAAACAGAAGGGAGATCTTCCTTCTTTACTGGAGGGAAAGCTAATTAAACGACAACATAAATTAAAGCAGAAATCAAAACCAATTGGCTTACTGAAAAATTATAAATCTAAAACACACAAAACTAAAAAAAACTAGTTCAAACATGATTTCTAAAACCCGTAAAAGCAAATACGTGTACTTTATACTGAAATATAAGTAACTTAATACATATTTTTATAAATTTAGTAATTCTAAAGGTTTGAATACACTTTTTTCCTTTATTGGCGCAGACACCGCTTATGGAGTTATAACCCAGTTTAAATACACTATAGTGTATACCTATGGATATTAAAGAATTGAGTTAAATTAATAGAATGACAAGGTGTTTGTAATAAGAAATTCTTTTAGTTGTTTTAATTTCTCCACTTTTCTTTTATTATGAAGAAATGGAATGTGAATTTCTAAATGGTTTGCTTTTTTAAAATGCGCAAAAATATTTCATATGTAGGTATATAAATTGGTGCTACTTCAATAGGCTCATACATTTTAATGGTTAATTTAATTCATATTAAGTTATCTTGCTCTTGTCATAACGTGGTAATTTAGTTGAAAAGATCCTATTTTGATAGTTGCAGTTGGGGTTTAGTTCAGATACACTAAACAGCTAAAAAAAATTAACGAAAAGTTTTCAAATCAATATTATTCATTAATCTAACGCATAGTAAACATTGTTAATAATATAGTCGAATATTTTAAAAAAGTTTTGTTTATTAAAAATTCGTACCTTCACAAATTAGCAAAATAACTGTGCAATCTTTTAAAGTGCTTGTACTCATCATCAGAACAGGAAGGGATTTCAACAACCCGAACTCTCTGGTCACACTATACCGTTCACTTGTACTGCCAATACTAGAGTATGGCTTTGTAATCTGGTCTCCATATACTGATACAGTCATCAACCGAGTTGAGAGAATTCAAAACAAATTCTGCAAGACATTGTTGTTCCATTAATCGTTAAGGATGCAGGGGCTCTCCACTGAGGACATCCGCTCCTATTTCAGACTCAACAGCTTAACCTCGCGTCGGAAGGTCTCTGATTCGGCATTTTTTTTACAAAATAGTCAACGGTCTGATTGACTCCTCAGAAGCACTCAGCAGTTTTGAGCTTGCTCCTACTAGCCTCCCGCTCAAGCATAACAGACTGTTAAAAACAACAAAGACTCAACGAAACTACGTATACCACGGACCAAATAATAGGACTGCTAATCTTGTAGACTCATTACACGATGACATTGATTTTAATGGAGGGACATATCAAGCTTTCATCTCGCAAACCAAAAATTTACTGTTTATCTGCCACTAACTCTTTACTTACATTCAACCGATTGTGTATATATATCACTTTCCACATTCTTATCTCTATATCATTTTGTATATTTTTACTAACTATTCGATGTATAAAGCCGATTGGCGTATGGTTTAATAAATAAATAAATACGGATGTCTGTAGGGGCAGCACTTTTATTGTGTATTGCGTCCATCTTTGTTGGGCGCGTATTTTTTCAATAAGCAAAAGACGCACCTTAAAAGTTTAAAAATTTAATTAAAAATAAATCTTACAAGTTTGTCGCCATGTTGGTCATTGAATTCTTTTTTTCGTAGCGCAAGTGAAAAGCATGTTCTAAAGTTGCATTCCGAGAATGGCTATCAATACATGAATTTTCTGACTGTCCTCTATAGACTTACAATCGTATGTACCATTCTATAAAACTATGTAGATTTGTATGTTCAGCTGAGCATAATAAAATTGAAGAGATTAATTGCAATTATTTTCACTACCGTGATAATATTTAACTTTTAATCGTAATACAAAAAACATATTTTTATAAAATTATTTTTTAATCTATTTTCTTCTGCGAAAATATTTGAATTTCGCTTACTGTAAGATTTTTCATAAAATAATAAAATAAATTAACGATAAGATGAATAGGGCATGAGTTTTGTGACAGATTTTCCAAAATATCACATAACTGCTTCCCGAGGCATGTCATTTCTTTGTGTGCTGTCAAACTTAGCACAAATTAAACAACTGATAAAGTAAATGAATAGATACACACATAGTATAAATGAAGGTATATACAAAGCTAAAGTAAATAAAGAAATTGTGACATATATTTATACATTTATGTTTATTATATTTGCATTAAGAAATGATATATAAGCGTTGTTCACCGCAGCATTTGAGCGTTAATGACTTTTTACTGATCATTACGTTCTCAGCAATGTTAGCAAAAGATAGTGTCAACGCTGATAAAAACAGCGAAAAGAATGTTCGAAAAGCAAGAGAATATTCGGAACATTGTATAATGGATAATCTTTCACTTGTTCCTCAGGATATTGCTCGGTACGATCACTATCGGGTTTACAGTGTTGAATTGGATACAGATAAGCATGTGGATCTCTTTCAAAAGTTAGAACAACAAAGCGACAGTTTGACTTTTATGGGACACGCAAGGGAAGTTGGGCAAAAGTTGACGCTTTTAGTGGCTGCACATAAAGTGGCCGATTTTGCAAATTTATTGCAAACTTTTAATGTCAAGCATCGCATATTGGTATGCATACATAAGATAATAATAATGCAGATGCACACATATGTAGTATCTATTTGAAATTTAATTTTTTTTTTAAGGCATTCAATTTCCAGGAGAAAATAGATCGCAACATGAAAGAAGTTTTGCCAGCAGACACACCTGGTTCTGCACTCGATTGGAAACATTTTTTTCATTTGAACACTATTTATGCGTGGTTGGAATATATGGTGGCACAATATCCCACAGATTTGACAGTTATAGATATGGGAAATAGTACAGAGGGTGTTCCTATTAAGGGTTTGAAGTTGTCACGGAATAAGTCTAACAAAGCTATTTTTATAGAGAGTGGTATCCATGCTCGCGAATGGATTGCTCCTGCGGCAGCTACATATCTTTTAAATGAGCTGCTTACTACTAAGGATGAGGCTGTTCGAAAGTTGGCAAACAATTATAACTGGATTGTATTCCCTTGCGTTAACCCAGATGGATATAAATATACGTTTGAACATGACCGAATGTGGCGAAAAAATCGTCAATTATTTGGCATATGCCGTGGTGTTGATTTGAATCGAAATTATCCAGATCACTGGAATACCACCGGAGCTAGTGGTGATCCATGCCGCTATGATTATTGCGGTCCCAATGCAGCAAGTGAAGCTGAAACTAAGCGTTTGATGGGTTTTCTTACGGCGCATGCGGAAAAGGAGCAAATCAGAACTTATATAGCCTTACATTCTTATTCACAAATGATAATGTTTCCATATGGCTATACCAAGGAGCATATAGCGAACTATGATGATTTACAAGAATTTGGACGTAATGCTGCCGGTCGTATCCGTGAACTTACCAGTCGTAATTATACATGTGGAAGTTTGATTGGAACAATTTATCCATCTAGTGGAGGCAGTATGGATTGGGCGTACAGCAAAATAAAAATACCCATTGCCTATACTTTCGAATTGAGGGGGCCCCCAGATAGCTCGGATATGTTTATACTACCTGCAAATGAAATTGAGCCCACGTCTCAAGAGGCATTTGCTGCTATTAGAACAATAGTAGAAGGAGCTACCAAGAAGGGATACTATAAATAAAGATGAGTTTTATCTGTGCATTTATGTAAATCTATAAAGTTTTCAACCATTAAATAAATAACACTCTAAATATAGTTTATATAAACCTACTGAAATATGTCGGTATGTTTATTTGTTAATTATAAATTATAATTATGCGCTCATCTAACAAATTGGAACATTCTCGAAGTAACTATATCTGAATTTCTTTTTATGCAACATTTTATACATGTTAGCCATTATTGGAAGAGATAACGATTAACTAATTTAAAGACAGTTTATCTATAAATCGGCATCGCCAAATGTAAGTATCTGACAAAATTGGCTACTTCATTATCACAGCAAATTAAAGTGCATCTGTAATTAAATTAAAAGAAATGCGTGATTGTCATGGTCCACACTGCGGGAAAAAAAACTTTAAGGTTCTCTTCAAACATTTTTATAAGGTGATAGCTACATAGAAATATAAACAAGCTGAAAATATGCTTTCTTGACACTTGGCTAAATATTGTTAATTTAACATATTTACTTTTTAAATTTTTCTTCCCTGAATAAAGTATACACGTCGGAAATTCTATAGAGCACGTTTATAAATGATCACTATGTAATAACTTACTGTAGCGGAACTTGTATGGAAAATATTAAATAACATCTAACAACATTATTTGAGTTTGAAGGAACAAGTTATGTGATTCCGTGGAGATATGCGAGGATCAAAAGTTGCGTTAATCTTTACTTGACATTCTGAAAGAGAGTTAATTATATTTATATTAATTTTATTGTATTCTTATAATCACCATTTTCTTGAAGATATAAAGCCCGATCATATAGTATTATACTCTCTATTAGCGGTGCAAACATAAGTCGGAGAGTGTAAAAAATAACAATTCGTCGCCAATGAAGTAAATCATTTTGGGTTGTTGAAGTTTGCAAATCAGAACGCGGTAAATTGGACGCTTCAACTCCTTGAGTCGCTTTGTAGAAATAACTGTAAACGAATTTTGGTTAGAAATATGTATGCATAAAAAACTACGTATGTTCTGTCTCTTATACACATCTAGATGTGTTTTATTGTATTCTTATAATCACCATTTTCTTGAAGATATAAAGCCCGATCATATAGTATTACACTCTCTATTAGCGGTGCAAACATAAGTCGGAAAGTGTAAAAACTAACAATTTGTCGCTAATGAAGTAAATCATTTTGAGTTGTTGTAGTTTGCAAATCAGAACGCCGCAAATTGGAAGCCTCAACTCCTTGAGTCGCTTTGTAAAAATAACTGTAAACGATATTGAATTTTGGCTAGAAATATGTATGCATAAAAAACTACGTATGTTTATACAAACATGCATAAATAAATATGTTAATTTATACATACTCTTCGAAGTCCATACCAGGAACATGCTTCACACTTCGTAGCCCACAATGTTTTAAATTGGGCATTGGTTAATAATAGTACTTCGCTCTACAGCCGCTCGAATTGAATGTACTTTTAAATATTCATAATCACCTCTAGCCAGACGATCGCAATATATTTCCATAGCATGACAAKATATCTCAAGAGCTTCATAACTCAAAAACGAGAATTCCTTTTGTTTTAATAAGTATTGGCTAAGAGGGTATCCTTGTAGTTTAATATTAGATTGTGTTTCAGCCGTAGTTAATTTCATATAACAACAACTAGCAAAATTAAGAAAACGGGCCTGAGGAATATTGGCGAACATACGCATTAATATAACTGCTAAATCCCCACAGGGATGTAAACCAATTATCCCAAATTTAAAATTTGTATTTGGCTTATGTTGTGATTCCGCAATTATATGAAGAAACTGATGTGGTTGCATGTCTGGTGTTATGCATAATGTGACATGTTTTGGTCGTTTAAAACAAGGTAGATTCGCTGTTTGCAAATGTTTTTGAATAACATTTTCCAATTTTGTGTCAATGCAGCGTGCTTGAGTATTAAGTTCCGAACGCATTTCTATACATGAAACTTGTACGCCGTAGCCATAACCAAGTACTCGTGCAAGATGGCCTAAGCCAGCGCCGAAATCCACAACAAAATCAACTGGCGATATTTGACAGCTGTATTCACAAATGGATGCCATTAACTGTATTTCATGGCGTTTCTTAGGTTTAACGCATTTATTAAATGCATGCCCAAGCTTTCTGTCGCTAAGAACAGGATTCTGCGATGCACTCTATTTTTTTACATCATTACTAAGTGGTAAATTAAATCTTGGGGAAAATTATGATATATTTACCAATTCGATTGAATTTGTAGATTGATTTCTTGGTATACTCAATTGTAATAATAAGTGACGTAAAGCTAATATTGACAATGGCCAAACAGCATGCTTCTGCTTACTAAACTTGTTATAATTTAAAAGAGTAGTTAACTCTTCAGGATGCAAGTGTTCCAAATGTAGCCGCCAACTTTCCGGCAACTTATTCCAATGATGATCAATGTAAAAATCCTGTAAATTAAAGAGCTTGAAAAAAATAACTTAAACTCCTTTGCTGAGGATGACAGAAAAGGATTTAATAGGTGTGCAATCATATTTTGATTTTAGAGTGTACATACCAATATATATGAATTTACAAGCCAATCATAAAGGCGTAGTATTTGCAAACAACTGCACAGTATAGAGCGCAGACTAATTAAGGATGTGCTTTCCATTAGGATGGATGTAGCCAGAAATGATATTGTATTACCTATCGATGAACTCACGTGTATTTTCATACACACGAATAATATGGCAGCAAAAGCAAATTATTTATATTCACTTGGTGACTGCAAACATATTATTTTTTATATTTTTACCAATATACTTTTACTTATTGTTGAAAACATCTGTTTGAATAAAAAAATAATTAAAATTTTGTACTACTAAAAACATTAAAATTAAAAATGTATGAGCAGATATAGCTAATATACGTTTGTTTATTGAGAGAACATTTGTATTTTCATTTACTTGGCAAATATGTTGTCAATAGTTAAAAGATCCAAATATTTACACGCAACATTATGCTTTTATTTCGTTAAAAAATTTATCACCAAACTACAAAAACTAATAATTAAAGTCTATTTAACGAATTAGCAAATGTTAGACTTTTGTTTGCAATTTACATATTTTTCCATACTTCTCTTCTCAACTCAAAATTATTACGTCACAGCCAACCGGCATAGTGCATTTGTTTTTGTAACAATTGTCACTGCTTAAACCAAAAAAAGTGACGGTAAGTTATTGACGTAATCTTGTAATATTTTATTCTTGACTATTTCTAATAGAAAATATATGTGTATATTTTATAAATATATAATCTATAGATTTTAACTATAATAGATAAATGTAGATTATAATTATAATCTTTTTCTGTATAAAATCTTCAAGAAACTGGCTTCAACAAGTGCATATAAAAACATGTGTAATTTAATATTCGATAGATGCTGCCTGTCGCTTCCCATCGCTTTGCGTTTCACCTTAATACAGTCGACGCTCACAAATAAGAACCACTTTTGATTCTAATTTTTGGAAGATTTTTGAATTGAATATGTACTCGTAGAAATAAACAAATTGGTTAAATGTACTTAAAATACTGCAATGAATTATCTTGTTTATTTAAATATATATATA